ATTCTTTTTTGGCATAGAGATTCTTCCTAGAAGTGTTTTAGATACTCTTTATACTTTATAGTTTTCTAGATATTACGATAGCAAATTTATGTCTTTTGCTTCAGTGTATTTTAATGTTAATTTTCTCTTGTTTCTCAACATATATTTTTTTTTATAGATTCATAAACTTTAAAACCGTTAATGGTTATTGTGGTCAAAAATCAAAATACGTATAGCTTAATTGTTTCCATATTTTTAGATACTTACGTTTTTAAATTTAATAAAATTAAAAAAAAAAAGAAAAACTTCATATTTTTATTATATAGTTAGAAAAGTTTCCAGTTTTCCAAATATTTTTTTTATATTATGTTAATACTTTTTTATAAATAAATTTTCATAATTTTCTTATCTTCGAAACGTGTTCCTAATTCCTATTAAGTACATTATTTTAGAATTAGAAATTTTTCTATTTATTCTAAAAATATAACTTATTAAAAAGAATATATTTCAGCATAAAGACTTATATCACAAATTCATATACATATTGAAAAGAATGTAAGAAAAGTATGAGTTGTTAAAAAGAAAGTATAAATAAGCTTATGAGTATACTTTTGTATAGGATTTTATATTTAGAAGAGCTGTACTAACTAATGCAGTGAATATAGACGAAAAATAATAGTGAATTTTTTCGCATACAAAAATGAGAAAGCCTTTAGGCTTCTGTTTATACATACATGTATCAAACCTATTTATTTGTCTATGTCAGCCATTTCAAGATGTTTCCCTGAAAAAATAAGACCTCGCCATCGTAAATGATGGTAAACCTACGACGTCCCATTAATAACTAGAACATTTTCACTACTACAAAAAAAAATTCATACTAGCCAAACAAAATACCCTCCCATAGATGATAGACCCAATCCCATATTTTGACGAGTTTACACCTACTACCACATTAGGAGGAGGCAATAGAGTCGGGAATTAATCAACTTGAAAGCTCAAAACAGATTTTCAAACATGCACTTGGATTATTATTAAAATTTGAAACATAAAGGCCCATTAAGAGCCCGACCAAAAGGGTTCACAACAAAGAGCACATAAAGAAAACAGAAAATGAAACATGAACACAATAGAGAAAAGTCTTCTTCTTTTGCAAACATCACCACACAAGTGCACGAGGCTCAATCGAACACCACCAGTTTTGACCACAGATAACAAAGCTCAGAAGCTTCCACCACGAAGACGAAGAACCAAGTGAAGAGTCGACTCCTTCTGGATGTTGTAATCAGCCAAAGTCCGACCATCCTCGAGCTGTTTACCAGCGAAGATGAGCCTCTGTTGGTCTGGCGGGATCCCCTCCTTGTCCTGAATCTTAGCCTTGACATTATCGATGGTGTCTGAGCTCTCAACCTCCAAGGTAATAGTCTTGCCTGTCAAAGTCTTCACAAAGATTTGCATACCACCACGAAGGCGCAACACAAGGTGAAGGGTAGATTCCTTCTGGATGTTGTAATCAGCCAAAGTCCGTCCATCCTCGAGCTGTTTCCCAGCAAAGATGAGTCTCTGTTGGTCTGGTGGGATCCCCTCCTTGTCCTGGATCTTAGCTTTAACATTATCGATAGTATCGGAACTTTCAACCTCCAAAGTTATGGTTTTCCCGGTAAGGGTCTTCACAAAGATCTGCATACCACCACGGAGACGAAGCACAAGATGGAGGGTAGACTCCTTTTGGATGTTGTAATCAGCAAGGGTGCGTCCATCTTCAAGCTGCTTACCGGCAAAGATAAGCCTCTGTTGGTCTGGTGGGATCCCCTCCTTGTCCTGAATCTTAGCCTTGACGTTATCGATTGTGTCTGAGCTCTCAACCTCCAACGTAATGGTCTTGCCTGTCAAAGTTTTCACAAATATTTGCATACCACCACGAAGACGCAACACAAGGTGAAGGGTAGATTCCTTCTGGATGTTGTAGTCAGCCAAAGTCCGACCATCCTCGAGCTGTTTACCAGCGAAGATGAGTCTCTGTTGGTCTGGTGGGATCCCTTCCTTGTCCTGGATCTTAGCTTTAACATTATCGATAGTGTCTGAGCTCTCAACCTCCAAAGTAATGGTCTTTCCAGTGAGGGTCTTCACAAAAATCTGCATACCACCTCTAAGACGAAGCACCAAATGAAGTGTAGACTCTTTCTGGATATTGTAATCAGCGAGTGTGCGACCGTCCTCAAGCTGCTTACCAGCAAAGATAAGCCTCTGCTGATCCGGAGGGATTCCTTCCTTATCCTGAATCTTAGCTTTAACATTATCAATAGTATCTGAACTTTCAACCTCCAAAGTAATGGTTTTGCCAGTCAACGTCTTCACAAAAATCTGCATACCACCTCTTAACCTGAGAACCAAATGGAGTGTTGATTCCTTCTGGATATTGTAATCTGCCAAGGTACGACCATCTTCTAACTGTTTACCAGCGAAGATCAATCTCTGCTGGTCAGGAGGAATACCTTCCTTATCCTGAATCTTTGCCTTAACATTGTCAATGGTGTCAGAGCTCTCAACCTCGAGAGTAATGGTCTTGCCAGTGAGTGTTTTCACGAAAATTTGCATCTGGAAAAAAAAAAAGGGCAAAGAAAAAATCGATCAGCGAACAAAACTTGATTCATCCTAATCACAAAGAGAATCACACATGATCATCCTAAAAATAAAAAACCTAATTGTCTATGAGAATCGCAAAATCAATCAAGAATTTGAACAGATATAAACCAGTAAAACGCAAGATCACTTAAGAAGCGGCAACAAATTAACCCTAACACGATGAAAACACACACAAAAACTAAATTGATGATCGTTCTCAAAAAAACCCTAAATTTCTATGAAAATTGGATAATCAAACACGAAATTGAACAGATGTAAGCGAAGAGATTCGGATCAAAAAGTTGGATTTGACGAAACGAACATATAATTTTTCGGATCAATTAAACAAAGATTCAAGGAACCAGAATCGGAGATTAGAGGCAAAATCAAAAGAAAACGGATCAGAAGAAACAAGTACCTTGAAAGAGAGAATCGTAAGAACTTTTGGAAGAGCGATTTAGGGTTTGGAAAAAGATGAACAAGTAACGATGAATGGATTTCTTCACAAAAGGAACAATATATATAATCCTTGGCGAGAAAAGGAACAATAAAAATGTAAAATTATCAGTTGGAAGATCTATTCGACACGTGTAAGTTTTGTCACCGTTCGTTTTTTATTGACCGACTCAACTAGAATTCTAGAATCATCCTATGGGTGGGGGTCGATGGATTAGGTCATCAGTGACATACACAAATTATTGTTTCTATTTTTTGCTTTTTCATTTCCTTTTCCTCGAAGTATTTCTTTTCATTTATAATAATATTCTTTATTTCTTTACATTGAGACTTATAATAAGATAATCAAATCATAATATATGGAGATTACAATACTACAATTCATCTTTTTTATTTTAAGACTATATATTGATTATAATAGTTTATATTTATATTAGCTAAAGAATGATTAAAAATTAAGAAAAAACTTTAACAAATTCAATCCGTTGAAAACGGTAAAAAGTTAAAAATTTGACCGTTCAATATATATGTAGATAAAATAAATAAATAAATAAACGTATTAATTTGATTATATCAGTATGGTATATTGGGATAGATATCCGGTTAAATACATTTGAAATACTAATTAGGATTGAGTTACGTTTTTTGTGACGAAATTCAAATTATATAACAAAATTATTAAAAATTAGAATCAGAAAAAAAAAATGTAAAAGAAAACTATTTTTTTTTAACTGTGTTTAAATTTTGGAACAGTACCAATGTTAGGCCTAACTTTTTGCTATGAACCCAATATTAATTCAGTAGACCTACATGACATCTTTACGCATACAATTCAGTCTCATAGTCATAGTAAAGGACTAAAGGGATCAAAAACGTATTTTTATTGCTAATGCTAAATGAAACTTTCATTGAAGCTGAATCTTATTGTCTCTTGTGGGTTACTTAATAATGGTTGTTTTCTCTAACAAAAATATTGAATGTAGCGATTGTCCGAATCTTGAGAATAAACACATTTTCTATAATAATTTTAGAAAATTTTTAAAACATAATTAAGTACAAGACTATATATTTACGTAAAAAATCATGATTAGAATATCTTAATAAATATTTCAAACTTGGTAATCCGAGATTTTTTCTTTCAAAAGTCATAACTATAGATTTCATGTCCAAAATCTATGAGAATCTTCCAAATCTCCTGCCTTAAACTTGCCGTTGCAATATATTAAACAAATCAAAATTTCATGACAATCAATAATGTATATGGCAAGAAATCAGCGTAACATATGTATATATATACACGTTTGTATAATGAGAATCAATACTATCAATAATGGAGAAAATGGTGTTCAGGAAAATTGTGTTTATTGCCTTCTTATTGTCCCTTTCATGTGAGTCCATCTTTCAACTCTAAATTTAGTTTCATCGCAATTTCATAGGGTTCTTTATTTTTTCATGATAATAATTATTGTCCACATGCAAGTTAACTGTTTTTCTTATATATAGTTTTTTTTCCTAATATAAAGTTTATATCTTCTTTAACAACAAAGCCAAAGAAACAAAATATTTGTTTTGTAAAAAAAAAAGAGGGGCAAATCAATTCATATCAAGATGATCATATTCGTAATAAGAAACGAATATGAAAGTGAAACATAAGTGCATCATATATTCGTAATGATTCAAACTATGTTATGTGTATATATATCTTAATGTTTTCTTCTTTTTTTATGATTTATATATAGGTTTATTGGAGGGAGAAGCAAGAATTAGTGGAGATATAACAATACAACGTGGAGGGTCTTGCAACAACGACAATACTTGTCACGATACATGTCCGGGTTGTCGTGTAACACAATGTATTTTCAGCCAATGTGTCTGTTCTCGTTGTAATACCCCACGATCAAGTTTACGTATTAAATCTCATATGTAATCTTCTTTCTAAGGACTATCACAGATTTGTGATGTCAAGATGATAATAATAAACAGTTTTCCTTTTATTTTAGAGTGTTTTTTTTAGGGAAAAATATCCAAAAAAAAAACGTGCAAACTTTTAAATTTGGGACGAAAAAAATTGAACTTTTGAAATGTAATTAATTAAATCGTAAAGTTTAATTGGTTTGATTTTTTGATAGAATAGTCAAGTTTCATTAACTTGGTCATTTCGGACATACCGTTAAATTTTTGTTAACAGAACGATCATATGGTTAACTTTTTGTCCCAAGTGCTTAAATAGACTCTATATTTTTCCAGATAAAAAAAATGATTGTGACTATCAAGACTCATGTACAATCTTTTTTAAGCCAAGTAGTTGGGATTGATTTTACTATACATTTTGATGCTTTGAATTGAAGAGTTATAAAGATTTTTTTTAAAAAAAACTAAGAAGTTTATTTGTAAAATACTAGTTCAAATGTTGGTAAATCCTAACATAATGTTTCCTCGTGTTTTAGTGGTCTCACATATACGATATACAATGTGTTTGATTTATTTAGAGGAAAAAACATTTGATGATAATCAAGATTCAAGTCCGTGGTATACATAAATCTTCCCTTTTTATTAGAAAATGTAAACAAACTATTACTAGTTTAGCCTGATGTGATATGTGTGCGCTGTGTGCATGTTGAATGCTTTTTTAAATAGGAAAAGTTACTAGATTGATCTAAATAATGACTTTAATTACTAGAATGTCTCATAAAATATTAGGGTTAGACTGGTTATTTTCATGACGATAATACACTTGCTCTCTTTGTTAGAAAAAAAGGTCAAAGTTACCCCTAAAATTTTTCAAAAAACGTGAGAAAAAATTTTAGGATATTTTTTTTGGTTTTTTAAAAGTCTGCTGGATTCGTTATGACATGTTTATTTTAAATGGCAGACTTATTTATCAACGACAGATTTTCTGTGACAGATTTTTTATCTCTCACAGACTTAATTTAACAGGTTGTGACAGAGTTAATTTAACACCACAGACTTTCATCACTTTGATAGATTTATTAAAATTAGTGGCAGATTTATGTTCATAGACTCATAGTGGCCTCAAAATTTTAATTTTGATAAAAATATCTGTCATCAAGTAACAGGTTTGTTTTTAGAAAAATAATTACTAGTAACTACTAGAATGACTTAGTAGTGATAACAGATTTTTTTGATGTTATGACAGTTTTTATTTTTTAAACAAAAAAACTGTCGAGTGATAGCAGATTTGTCATACAAAAAAAATTGCTAGATTGACATACAATCGCAAATGAAATATTTCTGTGATGACATATTTTATTTACATTACGACAGAATTAGGTTTAGTTCAAAGAAAACTATCACATTACGACAGATTTAGTGATGAAAAAAGAAATTGCTGGAATGACTTCATATAGTGATGACAGATATGTTTTACGCAATGACAGATTTTAATTTTTATTCATATTATGACAGATATTTTATACATATTTGATGATAGACTTTTTATGATGGACTAGATGACAGACTTTTTAAACACGACAGACTTTTTTGTTTTGAATTTCTATAACTGAAAAATAATAAATGACGAGATAATCTAATTACCTTATTTTCCTAGGGTTTTGGGCTATCCTAACCGTTTCTCTATCTCGTTTCTCTATCTCTTAGACGACAGCCAACACACGTTTTTTGAAATTCACCATGATGTCTCAAAAGAAAGGGTTGGAGATGGATCAGTGATTCTCGTATGTGGCAAATGGATTTTCGAGAATAATAAAACTCATTTATTTTATTAGTGTTGATCTTATTTATGATATGATTCTGAATCATTGTCTAAATATTTTAATCGATGTAGAACGTTGAACACACATTTTCGTCAATTGGATAATATATGTCCGTTTTAAAAATTTCAAATCAGAGTATATACAGAAAAAAATTGATTTTTTTTTACTTATGTATTATATGATGATTCAAAACAGTTATAAACAAATCAAACAAATATGATAAGAGAATCATAATTCTAAATCTTAATCAAATCTTCTAAATATCTAAATGATTAAATATAGAATATCCGGTGTATGAGTTGGGTTTTATTTAACCAGATCTAAGTATTTTTTTTAAGGAATTTAAAAAACGGGTCGGATATCCGATTAACCCAGAATGATTTTTACCCACCCGTCACCAAAGTGTTGCAAAAATACTAGTATAGATATATATATTCTCAACTAATTACTAAATCTAAACTCTTTATTTATGGTATAGTTTTTACGATTTTTATAGGTAAAAGAAATCAAATATGATGATTTAATGATAATATAACAAATTTGAGTTAATTTCCTAAAACATCTCTACCTACTTTAAACATAAATATATGACTTTCATTTTACTTTTATTTGATCTTATATTATATTATTTTAAATTATTATAAAATATATATAGTTAATAAATTTTTTTTTTTCTGCATATGTTATGATTCAAATTTTTTAAAACGGACATATATTATTCAATCGATAAAAAAATATGTGTGTAATCTATATTAACATTTTTGATAAACAAATTGCGCATTTAATCATGTTGTTTTTTATTCTTACCCGAAATTGAGTCATTCGGATTTTTTCTTAATTTATACAATTATCTAAAACGGGACAGTATACCACGGGTGAAATTCTAAAATTAACAAATCAAAATACAATTATTTAGTATTTTAAGATACAATTATAAATTGTTTTTATGGGTTGGTCCAAAAACACACACTAATTTGAAAATATATATTTTTGAAAACTATTTGAAAGCAAACTTTTAAATTGACTCGAATTATATGTCTTTTAAATAAGAGTTAATTACAAAATAGGCATTTGTCTTAGAAATTTATTTCATTTTAGGTACTTGTTTCATGCCTTACGAAAACAGGCACTTTTCCAACGTGAAAAGTCTTCTGTCCTCAAAGTAATGATGTCATTATCAACCGAAAAACTTAATATTTTATTCAACAAGGGTATATTGTTGAACGTTTCTGTTTCTTTATGTCCGTGTCGGCTCTAGTTCTTCTTCAGATGCCTACTTTTGCAAATTGGGATTCTAGTTGTCGGAAAGAAAAAATGGTGAAGACGAGAAGTGAGCGGCTCCGGGAAGCTTCTTTAACTTGGAATTCGAGTTGCCTGACTCCAACAGTAGTCCATCGATCTGAGGGTCCAAATATCTCGACTACGTCGGAAAGGGTAATTTAAACCCCCGTAATAAGACCCGATGGTGCAGTGGCGAGCAGGGAACGCAGGCGAATAGTTCGTTGTCCCTTTGTAGATTCGGATCTACTGTTGAAACGGAAGTGCGTTTCCCCAATCGCAGGTAAGAATTTATTTAATCGACGGCGTTGGTATTTGGTTAACGGCGAGCTTTGTAAATTGAATCAATAGAAAATTGATTTCATCATGGCGAGGTCTGTATATTCATGAAGGCAATCATGGAGATCTCTGTAAAGTCAATCAGTAGAAATTTAGCACTGTTACTATGACTATATCGGATTTGAGCTGTTAAAGATGCTGGGTAGTTTCATACCTTGAATTTTGTATGATAACAAGCTCTTAGAATTTACGTTGATAAATTTAGACATTACCGAAGGTTATGCCGACGATTTCTTGTCGATATTGCTTAGGCATCTCCTTTTATATACACTCAAATATTGGACACTTGAAATTTTCTGGATTTTGCTAGAGTTGCAAGCTAAAAGTGAAATTATGTTGTTCATATGGATTGTTATTAGTTCTATAATGAAACTGCTCATTTAATTTCTTGGTATTGTTGATGTTTCACGTTCTGCTAAACTTTTCAATGACCAGGTCTATGTACATCGTTGCGGTTCGATCCATGGCGGAGTCTCCAACAGCTGAAAAGAATCAACCGTACTCCTCAGGCTTCTTACAATTTTTCTTTTCCTGCAATTTCGAGATTGATTTCAGTTGGGGTATGTGTTCTTTACAACTCTCTTACTTAGAACTGTTCAGATTTGAGTTCTGTTTATATCTTTAAATGTTTATGGATTTTCATGTGATATTTATCTAGAGGAACTGCCTCGGTTTTGGAGAATGCTGGAATCTATGTGACCAAAGTGGAGAAGCTTACTCAATTTGTAGAAATGGCAAGTTTTTTCCCTTAAGCTCGCTGCTCTTGCTTAAGGTTTGGTCTTGTGTTTTCGTTGATTCTTTAAAGATCTTTAATCAAACAAAAGGCTAATGTCAAATTGAGTTGTGACTTTTTCAATGATCATACCATTATCTTGTTGAGTTTAGTATATTAAACTTAGCTCTCCTTCTGTTTTTTCTTCTCAAGAAGCTTGATGGAATTCTCACTAGTCCAAGAGATGTCATATAAAGATGAGTGATTGGTAAACTTGACGTTTTGGATGTTTGATAACACTATATATTTTCCTTAAGAAATGTTGTGATCCTATAGGGAATTATATGTTGATGTAGCCTTGTTAGCTAATTCTCTATGTATAATAATCATGGTGGATAAATGATAGCCAAAAATTATCAACAAATATGTGAATGAGAAACTATATATTACTCTATTTGGGTTAACAATTCCTTGACTAGGGTTTAGTGTTATCTCGTTTAGACTTTTATCATCTCATCAGCTAGTTTAGACATTGTCCCACCAAAAAAAAAAAGGGAAAAATGTCATTAAAATCCTCAATTTGTTGGAAACGTTCATTTAAATCCCCAACTCAAGACGAAACGAATTAAATCTCAAACTTGAGTTGACCTTCCAAATAAATACTCAACTTTTGTTGACTTCGCCATATTAGTCCCGTCGTTAAGTAGGTTAACGGAACCATGAACCGGGGTTAAATATCTGTTAATTGAGCCGTTAAGACAAAACGACGTCGTTTTGTCTTAACGGCTCAATTAACACGATTTCTTCCCCTAAATCCCCAATTCGAAAACTCAATCCCTAACCCTAGAAATCAAAAATCCCCAATTTCTCTCTGCATCTTCTCTTGTTCGATTGTCGGAACTAACGACTGCTGTAATGACACGACCAAAGCATGTAGCTTTCCGGAGTCCACGAAAGAAACCACCTGATTCCGTCGAGCCTTCTGGTGAGATGTCTGCTTCTGCTGAGCCACCTCGTGTTGTTGAAGACAAGAACAGAGGAAAGAAAGTAAAGACTAAATCGAAGGTTAAATCAAAGGTTGGATCGAAACGGAAGAGGTCAGAAGTAGCTGCCAAAGATAAAGCCGACGGTGGTGTTGAACCAGAAGCTAGTTCGATTCGTCGTTCCAAGTCGCGTCGGGGTTCTGCTAGAGACGAAGACGACTCAGATGGTGAGAGTTTGAGTGGAGATGACTGTGAGGTTGGTGGTGATGAAGATTTGGATGAGGTTCGATATCTTGACGAGCAGAATGGTAACCGGGTAGGTCTAGAAGAAGAAGAGTGCCATAATTTTGAAGAACACTTTGGAGAAGCTGCAAGAGATGAGGGCGATGTTAGTGATGCAGATAGTGGGGACGATATCTGGGATGAAGATAGGATTCCGGATCCTTTCTCAGATAGTGATCACGATGAAGATGAAATCGAAGATGCAAATGGGGAACAACAACCTGAAGATCCCGAAGTAATTCTGAAGTTGGGGAAAACATATAGTTCCCCAGAAGAGTTCAAGATTGCTGTGTTAAGGTATTCTCTCAAAACGCGATATGATATTAAGTTGTATAAGTCTCAGAGTTTGAAGGTTGGTGCTAAGTGCTCTGATACGGATGTGAAGTGTGGTTGGAGATGTTATTGCTCATATGATAAGAAGAAACACAAGATGCAAATAAAGGTGTATGAGGACAAGCATAGATGTGTTAGATCAGGTTACACGAAGATGCTAAAGAGAGGAACAATTGCGTGGTTGTTTTCTGAGAGGTTGAGAAAGAATCCTAAGATAACCAAATATGAGATGGCAGCTGAGATAATGAGAGAGTATAATTTGACTGTCACTGAAGAACAATGTTCGAAGGCAAAGACAAAGGTTATGAGAGAAAGAAAAGCTATTCATGAGGATCATTTCTCCAAGATTTGGGATTATCAAGCAGAGATTTTCAGAAGCAATCCGGAGACTATATTTGAGATCGAGACGATTCCAGGGCCAACCATTGGTAGCTTGCAAAGGTTTAGTCGTCTCTTTATTTGTTTCAAATCACAAAGAGAGTCTTGGAAACATACTTGTAGGCCTATATTAGGATTAGATGGTGCTTTTCTTAAATGGGATGTTAAAGGGCATTTGTTAGCTGCAACTGGGAGAGATGGGGATAATAGAATAGTTCCAATTGCTTGGGCTGTGGTAGAGATAGAGAGTGATGATAATTGGGACTGGTTTGTGAGATTGCTTGCTGTCCATTTGGATCTTCAAGATGGAAGAAACACATCAGTCATCTCAGACAAACAGTCGGTTAGTATCACAATCTAACTTTTGTTTGCTTCTTTTAACTGTTTAAAGAAACTAAATTTTGTATAACTACTTTGCAGGGTTTAGTGAAAGCTATCAAGAACATCATTCCAGCAGCTGAACATCGTCAATGTGCTAAACACATCATGGAGAACTGGAAGAAAAACAGTCATGATATGGAGCTGCAACGTCTGTTCTGGAAGATTGCAAGGAGCTACACCACAGGAGAATATGCAGCTAATATGGAGGCATTGAAGGCTTACAATCCAGGTGCAGCTGCTTCTCTGCTGACCACAAAACCAATGGAATGGTCTAGAGCATTCTTTAGAATAGGAAGCTGCTGCAATGATAACTTGAACAACCTCAGTGAGTCCTTCAATAGGACAATCCGACAAGCAAGGAGGAAACCTCTACTGGATATGCTAGAAGACATTAGGCGACAGTGTATGGTACGCAATGAGAAGAGGTTTGTTATTGCTGGGAGGCAGAAAACTAGGTTCACGAAGAGGGCACATGCTGAAATAGAGAAGATGATTGCAGGGGCCCAATTTTGTGAAAGAAGCATGGCCAGACATAATAAACATGAGATATCACATTTTGGTACCAACTATTCTGTGGATATGAATGCCAATACATGTGGTTGCAGGAAATGGCAAATGACAGGTATACCTTGTGTTCATGCTGCCTCTGTTATTATTGGAAAGAAACAAAAAGTGGAAGACTATGTGGAAGATTGGTACACGACAAGGATGTGGCAGCTAACTTACAATGATGGTATTCAGCCAGTCCAAGGGAAGTTATTGTGGCCTAGAGTGAATAGGTTAGGTGTCTTGCCACCACCATGGAGAAAAGGTAATCCTGGGAGACCAAGCAACTATGCTAGGAGAAAAAGCAGATATGAAAAAACCTCTTCATCAACAAGATTATCACGCCTGAACCGCATCATCACGTGTTCAAATTGTAAGGAAGAAGGCCATAACAAGGCATCGTGTACAAAACAGATGGCTGAGGATGCGCCAAAAAGACCAAGGGGCAGACCAAGGAAATTTCAGGTTAGTTAGTGTTGTTGTCTGCTTTTAAACATGTCTATTTGTGGATTGGTATTCTTATATTGCTTTAAAACAGGAACCAAGGAATGCTTTATTTGGACAAGGCTCTCCACAAGTTTTTTCACAAGGAGAAGGATCACAAGGATCACAAGGATCACAACCACGAGGATCACAAGGATCACAAGGATCACAACCACGAGTTTCACAACTAGTACAACAAGGACCACAAGGCTGGAGATCATGGTTTGAATGTTCAAGCTAGAACATGGATTGGTATGGTATTTGGTTTGAATGTTCAAGCTAGATCATGGTTTGAATGTACGCAAGCTAAGCACTAGAAACTCTCTTCTTTTTTCTTTTTTTGCTCCGATCAAGAACATGTATTGGTATTTGGTATTCGGATTTGCTTGTCTCTTTTGTAATTTGATATTGGTTTGGCTTGTTTCAAAACATGTTATTCGTCTACTTTCAATCAATATTGATGGTTTTTATGATCATTATGAGTATATGATTCAATACCAAACCCAACATAATTCATTAAGATAAACAAATCCAATACTACAATATCATTAGAAGTCACAAATCAAACATTACACTGTCATTACAAGCTCAACAACTAATAACCAACAGCTAATTCTTTTTTCTTTGCCGAACTAAGCATCATGTAAACAAAGACAATGCTGATCAAGCAAAGCCACACAAAACACACCTGCAAGCACACTTTCCACTTGTGGATCTCCTTTTTGCTCAAGATTGCTTCATCTTTAAGCTCTTGTAACATCACATTAAGCTCATTAACCTCAGATTTGGCTTGGTTTATCTCGTTTGCAATGATTCCCAATTTTGGTAAAGCATCTTCAACCTCTTCGTACACAGCATCCTCAACCCACTTAAACACATGACCCTATTGCACAACCAAACCAAATCAGACAAGTTTAGCTACTAAACTACACAAAGACACAACATAAACACCAACTCTACTTACATCTCTTTTGTTTGTCCACAACTTCGGATCTCTTTTCGTTTTACAACGGAAAAAAGGCCTTCCTGGATTCTCTTGAGTCTTCGACGTGTAGATCGTCACATCTACTCCACACGAACACTTCAACGGAAAACCACGGAGGTCTCCGCCAGCTCCATATGACACTGAACTTGAACTCATTGGAGTAGGAAGATCAAGTTAAGAGACTCACAATCTGAAAATCCAATCAATTTCCGAAACGAAATAACTCTTGTGGCCAAAAGAGCAAAAATTACACAAAGCGGGAGAAAGATAGTAGAAGTCTAGAACAAATCGATCATAACTCTTGAATCTTGAGGATCTTCGTGAAGAGGTGAGATCTTGAAACTGTCGAGTCTTGGAGATTTCTGTTGCTGCGTGTAATGGGAAGATGAAGAAGAAGAAGATGGTGGGAGAATCATGGAGGACGAAGAAGGGAATTCAGGGTTGTAGGGTGAAGGATTTGTCTTAAGACAAAACGACGTCGTTTTGTCTTAACGGCTCAATTAACAGATAGTTAACCCCGGTTCATGGTTCCGTTAACCTACTTAACGACGGGACTAATATGGCGAAGTCAACAAAAGTTGAGTATTTATTTGGAAGGTCAACTCAAGTTTGAGATTTAATTCGTTTCGTCTTGAGTTGGGGATTTAAATGAACGTTTCCAACAAATTGAGGATTTTAATGACATTTTTCCCAAAAAAAAAAGCTAGTTTAGACATTGTGTTTGGGTTCCTCATTTACAATTTAGGGTTTAGTTTGCCCTTTTAGATGTCTTTTATGGATTGCCTATTGTAGATTAATCAGTTTGGGTTCATCCGTCCTTGACTAGGGTTTAGTGTTCTCTCGATTAGAGTTTTATCTCGTAAAGTAGTTAAAATATTGTGTTTGGGTTCTCCATTTACTATCAACTAGGGTTAAGTTTTTCTCTTTTAGATTTTTGTTATAAACAGTCCACTGTATATAAATCGATTTGGGTTCACCCGTCCTTGACTAGGGTTTAGCATTCTCATGTTTAGACTATTAGCATCATATTAAGCGGTGAAACACTTAGCTTTCCTATCTAATCATGAACCACAAATATCGAACACTAATGCAAAATTACACATCATTACATTGAAGCTTTTAAACACCATTTACCTGCTCACATGTAGCCATTATCTCCTAACGATTATTTGCTTCCATCACAACCTTTGCGTTTGTTTTCCTCCCACTACACTCTTTCTACACTTACAATCCAGGCTTATATTTAGGCTTGGGCAAAAAACCCGTACCCGAGTACCCGAACCGGACCCGACCCGAAAAAACCGGTTCGGGGCGGGTACGGGTATGTGAGTTTTACACTGTTGGGTTCTATAATTGCTTACCCGTGGGTATCGGGTCGGGTTCGGGTTTTACCCGATACCCGATGGTGTAAACCGAAAATCCGATCCGCTTAAATGCCCTTAGGTTTAGTCTCTAACCCGATTAACCTTTTGACTATTTAGCTTCTTCCCTTTGCTCGATTCTAGAACCCTAAACCCTAAACCCGATACCCGATGGTGTAAAAAATGTATTCCACAGTGTAAACGGGTAGAAAATACCCGAACCCGACCCGAAACAAGCAAGAACCGATATTTTCGGGTTTTTACCGGTTCTCAAATCTGATACCCGAACCGACCCGAACCCGACCATACCCGAACCGAAACCGAACCAATGTTTCGAGTTTACCCTATTGGATCCTATATTACCATACCCGACATACCCGAACCCGATCGGGTTTTACCCGAACCCGACCCGCGGACCCGAATGCCCAGGCCTACTTATATTTATGAAACGCAGAAATCCTTGTTGGAGCACCCAGTTTCGTAGGCTGATTCCTGTCCACAAATTAGCATTAATTACTGTATCTTACAGTGTCCTAATTCAGTTTCTCCACAAATTAAACCTTTTTACGTAAACCATGTACTAATATCTGCTGACATCATCAACCCACTTGCAAACCTATATTTCACTTTCCCGTTTATTCACCAAGGGTAAAATCGTCCGAATTTGGTAAGTTATGTGCTACTGTTTAATTTAACTGTGCATAGTGCCTATTCTGAAAGAAATAAATTTAAAATGCCTGTTTCCGATATAAGCTCTTTAAATAAAAGGGTTATTAAAAAAAACAAAATAATGTATAATTTCACAGGATGGGATTATATGGTGGGACAGATTTAGGTCGATATTAATACGAGACAATATACCACGGGTAAAATCCTAGATTAACAAATCAAAATACATTTATACAATCTTAAATACTAAACAAAACAAATACAACTTAAATTTTTTTTTAGTTACAACGCATTTGACCCGCGTTGTACAACAAAAAATATTATACACAACAAATTCATCAATTTATAAAAAAATATAAAAAAAAAATAATTAACCCGCGGTGTACCGCGGGTCATATCCTAGTTCTTAAAGATATACACAAGGGAATAAGTGTACAACTGATCATTCAAATTTCAAAATACCAAAAATATTCTTTTTTGGCATAGAGATTCTTCCTAGAAGTGTTTTAGATACTCTTTATACTTTATAGTTTTCTAGATATTACGATAGCAAATTTATGTCTTTTGCTTCAGTGTATTTTAATGTTAATTTTCTCTTGTTTCTCAACATATATTTTTTTTTATAGATTCATAAACTTTAAAACCGTTAATGGTTATTGTGGTCAAAAATCAAAATACGTATAGCTTAATTGTTTCCATATTTTTAGATACTTACGTTTGTAAATTTAATAAAATTAAAAAAAAAGAAAAACTTCATATTTTTATTATATATTTAGAAAAGTTTCCAGTTTTCCAAATATTTTTTTTATATTATGTTAATACTTTTTTATAAATAAATTTTCATAAATTTCTTATCTTCGAAACGTGTTCCTAATTCCTATTAAGTACATTATTTTAGAATTAGAAATTTTTCTATTTATTCTAAAAATATAACTTATTAAAAAGAATATATTTCAGCATAAAGACTTATATTACAAATTCATATACATATTGAAAAGAATGTAAGAAAAGTATGAGTTGTTAAAAAGAAAGTATAAATAAGCTTATGAGTATACTTTTGTATAGGATTTTATATTTAGAAGAGCTGTACTAACTAATGCAGTGAATATAGACGAAAAATAATAGTGAATTTTTTCGCATACAAAAATGAGAAATTCGTCGAAGTTAGACCCTATAAAACAATTTATTTATTTCATAAAAAAATCTGGTCATCCAAAATATCTAAAGGTAAAGAGAGAGAGAGCTATTAAACAAAAAATATATACTTTTGATAAATGTTGTAAAAATCTAAAAGTTGTATTAGATTTTTTTGAGTTGTTATTTGTCATGGTAAATTTAAATTTCAAAGAATTTGAACTATTAACAGTAACAATAAGTAGAAATATAAAAACATATATTTCAAAAAAAATTAATAAATATTACTAATCACACAAAATTTTATTAAAAACTCTAAAAATAGACCCACGCGTAGTGTTGGTTCAGAACCCAGTGCACCAACAAATTATAGGCTGCTTTACCACAGAGATGTAAACCGTTCCATCGTTCTTTGGATAAACTGTTCCATCGTTTGCAAGTGGATCTTACTCCTCACAGAGATGTCTACCAAATCCTGCTAAAGAAATTAGTAAAATGAATTATTTCTTATGCTCTGTTTAATTCTCAAAACAGAACAAAGAACATCAGAAAGATCTTTACCACAATTCATATTAACAAGAGGAACAAAGATATATAATTTAGAGGAACAAAATTGAGTGAGCAATATCGTCCTAATTGTAACGATTTTTTCATACAAGACTGATTCATCATCCTTCAGGATAAAAGGTTCAGACACTCATACACAAAAGCTATTTTCTACTTCCCACAGTGAAGCATCAAGATTCACTAATGAATCTAAACCTAACAGAAAACAAAAAAACAATCCTTAACGTTGCTCATTGTTCTAGGCGTGTCTTCTGATCGGTGAGTGAAACACGATCTCCAGTGAAGATAACCATCAACTCAGCCACAAGCTGCTTGTCATCATGTTTCCTAACATAACAATTTAAAAACTTCTCACTAGTACTTGTCAAAACAGACGATATTGCAGGGAGTTCACTTTCGAGCAATCCTTTTGAGATGAGAACTTTGATTACATTACACCTTGGGACAGTCCTCTTCTCTAGGCTGTATCCAACTACTTGAGGGATTGAAGCCACAGCCTTTAGTGGCCAATTCATCTCCTTCACCAGATACTCAGTCTTCTTCTTCACTAACTCTGTCGAAAATCCAATGCATTGAGGAAACCGCTTGACCATCATCAAAAACTCATCTCTGCTGAATCCTAGACCAAGAAATGTTTCAATGGAGTTGGCTACCTTCTTCTCCGAGTGTGTCAGAGAGCGTGGCCACTTCTTGACCATTGCCCATACATCATCCACAGTGAAACCTACACTTGTATAGAATTCAACTTTTTCTTCAATCGCATATGCAAAGCGTGCACAAACGTTGAGGTGGTTGGATCAAAACCCATCTCAACGACCTTCTTGAGTGATGCATCAAATTTTTCTTTTCCACACACGGGCTGCGCTTTGGAGATGAGCAAAGGTAACAACCGCTTTTGAGGCACACCCAATTCTCTCAAAACCAAAACATTTCTGATCTTGTTACCCTGTGATAAAGAATGAGATAACTTTACATACTTGGAACTCTTATCTGCTTCTATAATGACTTTGACGAAATCATAGTATCTGCTGATAGATTGGCCCTCTCTCTTCCCCAAGATTTTAGGAACTGTAGAAACAATCTCAGTGAGCTCAGAGCTTGACGCTCCTCTGGCCTGCAAAAACTCAAGCTTTGAACCAAGGGATGTCGCAGTATTGGCTATAAGCACTTGTGGATCACTCCTAATGATGCTGGAGATCTGAGAATCTGTGAACCCATAACTTCTAAGAAGATCCAGAACCGAATCAGCATTGACTAAACGCAGTGAATCAAGGAATGACGAAGCTTTAAAGGTCTCCCCTTTTCCACCATCTTTAGGGCTCACATCAGCAGCACTAGCAGAAGAGAACGAATTGGAAAAAGAAGATCCATTTTGCAATGAAACTCTCAAGTTACGCCATTTCTGCAACACCACGAACCTACGGATTATCAGAGAATTCATGACAATGCACAGCGTTGAAGCGATTCGACCAATATATCTGATCCAATTCGTACCCAAGATTCAAAATTTGACCTTGATTACTATCGATCAGTGAAGAACAAGAGTATCACTCATCGATCATTCACTTGCGGAACTCTCAGAATCGCACAGATACAAAATTTGGGGAGGAAACACTTGATTTTTAGGGTTTAGTTCTTGACCGGTTTAAGAAATCAAAAACTGATTTAATTGGTTTACTATTGGTTCATTAATATTATAAGGAATATTTAATAGGTTCGCTAATGGGATTGCGAATTCTACAAAAAAGAATGAATAAGGAGACTTTTGGTGAAGTCTTGGAACGAGTATCTTCTAGGTTGGCGGGATGGAAGAGTCGTTCTTTGAGCTTGGCAGGTAGAATAACTCTGACTAAAGTAGTTTTGTCATCTATCCTTGTGCATTCTATGAGTGCAATTCTGTTGCCTGCCTCTACGCTGGAAAGCCTAGATAAACTGTCAAGGAATTTTCTGTGGGGGAGCACCATGGAGAAGAAGAAACAGCATTTACTCTCATGGAAAAAGGTTTGTAGACCGAAAGCAGAAGGTGGACTAGGTTTACGGCCTGCGCAGGACATGAACAAGGCTCTTGTAGCGAAGGTGGGCTGGCGCCTTATCCAAGATAAGACTAGCTTATGGGCAAGGGTGCTAAGAAGTAAATACAAAGTAGGTGATGTTCAGGATCCCAGGTGGCTGAAGGCCAAGAGCAGCTGGTCATCTACTTGGCGGAGTATCGGGGTAGGGCTGAGGGAGGTGGTAGCTAGGGGCATTGGCTGGGTTCCTGGAGATGGGAAGACTATTCGATTCTGGGCTGACCGCTGGCTATTAGAGAAACCACTGCTTGAGTTTGTAACGGGCACGCTACCGGATGACGAGAAGGCTAAGACAGCGGAGAGGTACTGGACGTTGGGATCGGGTTGGGACATGGTAAAGCTGCGCCATTTCTTGCCACTAAACATCACAAGAAGATTGTTTTCTGTGGTGTTGCATGATTTTCCAGGGACGAGAGATGAGCTGTCTTGGAAGGGTCACC